AAATTTTCCACATTATTTTCACGAACATAATGTATGTACCTAGATATAAGAAAACCATATAGGTATTGAGAAAGGTATGATTGGTTTCTTATAAAATTTATAACATTACAATGGGGGACAAAATTAGTTCTTTTGGTTTGGTGAGTCGTGCTCTTTACTTATTAAAAAATAGCTCTTTAAAATTAATTAAGATAAACATAGAAGAAGGGTCAATGATTTTTTGTTAAAACAACTGCTTAATTATTATGTTTCAAAATATAACCATGTATTTATAAGTTTTGCCAGCAACTGCCTTCTTCTATTAGCGAGAGCATCTCACTCCTCCAGAAGGTGCACTGAGCTCTCCTTATCCTCCACACAGAATGTGCAACTGTTGGCACTTTCCAGGCCCTGCCTACTGAGGTACCCCCTAAGTCTGAAGTGATCCGATAAAACCTCGGCGAAAATTATCACCTGATTCTTGCCCATCCATATAATTTTCTTAAATCCCTTCTAATCATAATCTCCCTTGGCCTGCCATAGCCCCGGAAGACTTTTCTAGCGCTTCGACCGTCTCCCTTTTAATTTGTTCCTTAATTCTCAACGAATAGTATGTGGTCCGATTCCGCAGAAGGGTTCCGGCCCAAGAAGAGGTGGGTTTGCCCTTTCCTCGCTAGCGCATGAAATCCCCGTTATTCGATTTAATTATTGTCTCTTGTCCCCGACGCTGAACCGCACGTACAATTTAATGGCGTGCACCTCGGCCTGAAACACGATCGGAAAAGCTCCCATAAGTTCGGAGAATTTGGTTCTTGATCCAAACACCCTCCACCCGTCCCCATACTCCCATACCCCATAATGTGTGTTCTGACCTAAAAAATCACCTACCCGATAAAACGATCCTACCCGATCCTAAAATTTTACCTACCCGATAAAACGATCCCGATCCCTTGCTTCTATGTAAGTATGTATCCTAAAATAGATTAAAGCGATTTTGTTTTATTAATTCCTTTTCAATGTTGCATATAATATGTGTATGTGTGTATACCTATGCACCATGGAATTGTTGTTATTAAAGTTGACTTTCATTTTAAATGGCATTGATTTGCATTATTGTGTTTATTTTTCAAAGTCCATCAAAAAACTATTTCGTTTCAATATTACATTTTGTTCTACATATTATATAGTGTTGTTATTTGTGTGTCCAATATGGTCTAATTAAATAACACATATATAAAAGTATATTCTATATTCATAATTGGTAAAAGAGAATGTCCTGCTTCTAATATGGAACAATTTATACATATGTAGATACCGCTGTCAATCAATTTTAGAAACATATTCTAATTTATTTTCACTCCCCTTTGAATTATGCTAGAATTGCAAATAAAAATGATTATAGGAAAATCAATATGCAAGTATGATGAATTGATAAATCAATCAATATTTGGTTTAATATCAAAAATCCTGTTTCTTTTTTGACATCATGCATTTGAACACATCCTTTTTATACCCGTACGAACGTATGTTCGAAGGGTATACTAAATTTGCTTTACCGTTTGTAATTATACCCGTACGAACGTATGTTCGAAGGGTATACTAAATTTGCTTTACCGTTTGTAACGCTAAGAAATAACGGTCTTAGATATAGACTCAAGTGTATGTTTTTGATCAGCGTCAAATTCTGAGTTGATTTAGCTTTGTCTGTCCGTCCGTCCGTCCGTCCGTCTGTCCGTCCGTCCGTCCGTCCCAGCGATAACTCAAAAACTAATTGAGCTAAGTTCACCAAATTTTCACATATGATTTATTGTACTAAGTACCAGAACCCTATTTAAATTGGACATGATTGGGGCACCGGTTCGGATAGCTGCCATACAACTTCAAAATTTATTTGGCTATATCTCAGAAACTATAAAAGGTGTGGTATTGAAATTTCACACAAGCGAATATATTAGTAGGGCCAATGTGTTTGATAAAATTTGTTAAAATATCTTAGCTCTTTCTGGTAGCTGCCATACAACTTAAATAGTAGTTTGGCACACACAGTATTTTGAAAAACACACAGTAGTGAAATTTTGTATAAATTAATATGGTAATACGGCATCTTAAAGTCATAGTCTGTCCCATAGTCAGTTATGGCATCTTTATTTCCACATAGGATAACGAATTCGTACGGGTATCACAGAGTTGACAAGGTCAACTCTATTTTTTTCTCGTTTTTTTTTGGTTTTATATTATGTAAGTTGATTTTTAATTTTAAGAGATTTTTTTTCAGTTCAGCAAATAAAAAAATCAATTCTTTTGATGTTCAAAGTTAATTTGTATATAAAGAATTTATTTTAATGCTTGATGTTTGGTCGCGTGCAAATTAAACCGTTTATTGACTTTAACTATTTCGTTAAAATTTGATGCTTATATTAAACATGAAAGAAGCTGAATTTTTTTTTATTATAGCAGTAAATTATGAGTATGGGTATAGATGTGTAGCATATAACTTAGGCGGAAATATTAAAGATTGTTGTTAATTTTTGTGTGACGACTGCAGTAAGCTATAAATTGCTTTAGGTACGTGAATATGAATGTATTTGTATGCAATATTGTACCCGCAGCAGCTTAAGGAGCTCGTCACTTACCTAAATTTTTAATCTGATAGTTAAATTTTTTGTTAATACCTTACCGAACCGATAAACTCAAACATTTTAAATGTTGGTTTCGGTTGAAAACTCTAGTCATTTATGCAGCAATTTAAAAAATATTTATTGTTATACAGGTCACTCTGCTTTATTCTTTATCGTTAGAGACTCACTCTGCATAGCAAATAACACAAAATACTAATTCTCTTTTTGTGCCTGTTGCGTGTAAATTTCTAAAATATCTCCGAACAGATCATTCAATTTAAATAATTTATCTAAATTAATAAATAATTTCAAATTAATAATTCAAAAACATGCTAATTAATTTCTAATTATCAAAAAAAATATTGAGAACAAGACTTACCAATTTTCAACATTCTCATAAAACTCACTCAAAATATTTACTCACTATAAAATTTACTCAAAAATTCATTTTAATAAAAATGTTGAAATATAATGTTGAAATTGATAAAATTTAACTCAAAAAATTTTTACTCAAATTTATAGTAAAAACTCACAACTACCACAAAATAATGTTGTACTATACAAAATTTTAGAATGAAACTGTTATAATAAAAGAATAATATTCACCATCGTATAAAATGATAACAGAAAATTTTAACAGAAACTGTAAAATTTTTCATTTGTTTTCATGTAATATTTTTAAGTTTTACAGAAAACTATAAGAAGTATAAAAACAAAACAGATAAGAGATAATATTGTGCTGTTGTTTTTTATGTAAACGTTCTCTCTAAGGAAAATTTCGATGTCAGAGTTAGAGAGTAAGAGTAAGGTAAACGACATAGAATTTGCGAGATAAATTTTCTTCTAACATTTTTTTTATAATAAATAATATTCGAAAAAGAGCTTATCGTGAACATATGTTGAATAATATTGTAAAAGGTGCGCGGTTATAAGAGAGATTTTTATATTAGAAATAAGCCGGTACGGTACATCTGTACTCTAAAATCAATTCTTAGTAATCTTTAACTGTTATCTTTCTTGTTTGCATTTTGTTATTTTAAAAACGTATATATATACAGAAAAACATAAAAATCGTGTTTACATGTAAGAAAAATGAGTTGCATGTGCGTGCTTTGAAAACAATAATTGTATAGGGTTAAAATGGGAAAACAACCCAGACTGGGGTAACTGTCGCATATGAATGAACGTAAAAAATATGTGTGGTGTGTTTTTTTTTTTTGAACTATGGAATGGTGAGCTTCTGTCTGGATTCTTAGCCGTTTGATGAACTTTTTCTTTTTTTTTTGTTGATTTTTTTTCAAATTTTTCTTTTGTTTCTGTTGATTGTTATGAATTCATAATATTGTTGATTTTTGAAAAAATGTAGCGACGTATAAAATGAGTAAAATATGAAAAATATAAGAAGTGAGTATTTTGGTAATTTTTTTTGTGTTTTTCCTGTTATAATTCATTTATTATTTTGAATTTTTCTTGTATAAAGAGTGCAAATAATGGTAGAAAAGGAAAATAAAGTTTCTGTTATGTGCTTTATTTTTTTTTTTTTGTATTTTATCACTGTTATATTTACTGTTATTGTTGTTGTTTATTATAAAATTCTCTTTCCATTATTCTATTCACTTTTGTTTATTTTTTTAAAGCAAAATAATTAAAAACAAAAGAAAGAAGAAGAAGAAAAAAATTTTTTTTTTTGAAAAAGGGTAGAGTAAAAAACGATAAATGAATTAAAATTCAGTTTTACTCGGAAGCTCTAACGATATGGTCGTTTACAAATAAATATTGTCTGTCAATAGGTGTGTGTCTATATTATAAATAGTCTATAATTATTTGGCGTCTTATTGTCTCCGTATTATTATAAATTTATGTTGAATTTTGTTTTTTTTATTTTTCTTAATAAATTTATAGTGCTTTAATTTTTTTGGTCTCATTGTGAATTTATTTGATTGTGAACGTCTACTAATAATTAATTAAAATGTAATACACAATTTGAAATTAAAATTATCAAAAATTAAATTTTGGATTTTATTTTCATTTTCGTAATTGGTGATTGAAAAAATATTGTGTTTTCCGGTAAAGAATTATGACATAACAATGAGAATATGTCAACGATATACTTAGCATAATATAATAAGTTATTACCGTAATTTAAAAAATAATCGAAAATTATAATAACTTAATAAAGATAAGAATATTATAAAAAGTTTATTAAATAACTAAGATTTTGTATATACCTACTTACAGTATCGAAAAATAAAATCGAATAATAAAGATTCATTTGAATGTTATTAATTATTGTGAATTAATAAATAATTAGGAAAATATTCTACATAATAATTAATTATAATTTTATCATAACATTATTAAATATTAATTGAAAATTATTCAAAACAGATTTTATTATACCTACTTATCAATAATATAACAGTTTCATTATAATTGCATTATTAATCGATTATAAAATCTTAATTTATTGAAAAAGATTAAGGTGTGTTTTAATATTCAAGTAACATATTTTATATTGGTAATAATTAAATATAATAATTTGAAATAAATATAATATTAATTTCGTAATTATTAAATTTAAAAGTGAAAAATATTTTCAAAGAAAATTTTAAAAATATTTAATCGGATTACCAGTGGAATTTTTTTATAAAAATCGATTATGAGTTTTAAAATTACCATTGTATGTATAAGTATATACGAAATTATTTTATTAAAAACAGTTTATTTTATTGTTATATAAAATTATTAATAATTTTCTGAATAAATTTTATGAGAAGAAATATTTTTAATAATTAATATTCAACAATAATATTTTCAGTATTTTCTACCATCACGTTTTACGATATTATACAACTCGTATAGTAATTTAATTCGCTAATAACATAAAAATCAAATTAAATAAATCTTAAGCTTTTGAATTTTAAAGTTATAAAAAAAAATACAAATTAATTTTTTTTTAATAAAAACTTAAAATCGTTTAAATTCGCTTTAAAAAAAAATATTTTTTGCATTAAATTTTAATTAATTATTAATGTAGATTATAATAATATAATCATTATTATTAAGTATAACAGTATAGTAAGTATAGAAGAAACCAGAATTTAAAATTTTGAATTTTAATATGAAAATATACTTGAAATTTTGTATAATAGTTAAATATATATTTAAATACTTGATCTATATTATATATATGTAAGTAGGTAGATTATATTATTTACGTATGTTGTTTACGTTTACATATGTTGACGATATTTATGATTTGAAGGCTTATACTCTATTTAATATTTTTTATTTAAAATTATTTTGAAAAAAGTATAAAATATTAAAATTTTTGGTCTAACACCATTTATACTAAAGATATGTTTAATTTTAAAGGCATAAATATTTATAAGTATTAAAAATATAGGTAAATAATATTAATTATAACTAGAATACTTAGTAGGTGTTTGTTAAATTGAAGCAAGTAATTAAGTAAATACTTTCAATTTCGCTCAAATGCGAGAGCAAAAAATTATTGGTCACTCTTTATAACCATATTGAATAGTATTTTCGGTGTACTAGCACTAGTAATTTTATTAGTAATTTTGTTTACGTTAAAAAAAAAAATGAGACGTAAACAATTTAAATTATAATATAAAAAATATTTCTTTAAATATAAAAATTTAATAATTATTTTCCTCAAATTATCTAGTAAGTATATTTAAATATTTACTTATATAATAAACAAAAATAACATAATGTGACAAAATATCCATGGTATAGGTTATAATCAAGATTTTTTTTTTTAGTTATATTTTTGTTTTTATAAGTAATATGGGTAATCTTGAATAAAATTGAGCTAGGTACTATAAGTAACACAAATCTCGTGTTAATATTTAAAATATTTTATATTTCTAGTACTTAGTAGTAAGCGAATAGATATAGGTGTCTTGTTCTCTAAAAATTGACTATCGTGAATAATATGATTTATTTGCACTCTTTATACAAATTCAAAATGAACTGTGACTATTGGAATACTTAATATGATTTTAATGATTATTAAAAAAAAGAGTTTGAGGATCCCAAATGAATTAAACAGGTCCCTTCCAAAATAAATAATCCAATTTTTTGTTCAATACTTAAATGAATAGAAATTCTGTTAAATTTGAATGCTTGCGTTCGTACAGCTGCGGCTCTCATTATTCAGTATTGTGTTTGCTTGCTATTGAATATCAGTGATGCTTCTTTATTCCGTAATCTCAATGTAAAATCTACAATAATATTCAATTCAATAATTATAAATCTTAAATAGAGAGAGAAAGTCTAAATACATAAGTAACATTTATAAATGAATGTAAGACTCTCATATTAAAATTTATATAACACTTACCACATATTTATTATTATTCTGCGATAAATTGATGATAAATTAAATAATTTTTGTAAATTGAACCCGTGACAATAACATTTTAGATTTAGTGTCTGTCGCTGAATTCATTTGTAATTCAATTCCTAATGCAATAAGGTTGTTTAGTCAGGATTTAGTTCATGATCTAAGGTGCTATGGTTGTAAGAACACTTTCCGCAAACTAATTTTAAAAATTTTATGTACTCTTAAAATTTACGGTATTAATCAAAGTTATCTAATGTTATGAAATTGCCCCCTTTTCTAAATTTTATATTTTTTTAAATAAATTCATGTTTTTTTCTATTTCGCATTACAAAAAAAAAAATGTTTTGTTAAAAAACTCAGTCTATCAAATCAATATTTTATCACATTTATTATTATTTTTCGATTTTATTTCAAAAACGTATTTTAATATTTCGCTCAAGGCAACATTTTCTTTTCACAGAATTTATTGTGTTTCCACTTATATCTGCTTATAAATCTTATTTATAACTTTTTATGTATAAGAATATTAATAGTTACTTTTTGATATTCAATCAACAGCAGAATTATTATTTTACGTTCTTTTTTCCTTTTATTCCAAATATTTTTTACTTATTTTATTCTAAATATTGTTTGCTACCTACATACATCAAAGCTTTTACTAAACAGCTATGGTTGTATATTATATAATAAGGTCTGTGTGTGTATTGTTGTCAAAAAAATATGTAAATATCATGATCATAAATCAATACTTATTTTCAGTGACATTTTATATTTGTCAAGAGACGCAGATGACACTTTAAGATAATCTTTGATTACCTTTGAAGAAAAAAAAAAAAAAAAATTAAAAATATTTATGTGGACGACCTGTATATATGGTATATACCAACAAGGTGTTCTCTATAAAATATATTTAAGAGAATTTCAAAATTTTAATTAGTATAGTAGGCAATACTGTTGGTTTGTCTAAGATATTCGTATAAGTTGGTTTAGTACTTTAATATTTAGGAGAAAATTTATTTTACATTCGAATAAATTGGATCACCAATAGCATTCGGAATAGAAAATTTTCTGCTGTAGGGGATATACATATCTGAATTAGTCACATAAATGTAAGCTCATTTTCTGTTTGAATTTACGAATTCATTGTGTCTTAACTCGAAATTTTAAATAAAAATTGCTTACAGTTTTTGTTGTACAAATTTCAAAGAATTTTTCGAGAAAAATTACCTGGCAAACTTTAGATTAGTCGAAAATTGTAGAAAAGTGTTATATTTGTTTTGAATTTTCGGGAAATGCGCGTTTCGAAAAATTATTTCGGAGAATGTTTTGTTTTTGTTTCAAATAAGAATTTGGCTTAAGTATTTATGTCATATCTTGTCATTTTATATCTGGTCTTAAGGATTGTTGGTAGGAGAAGAGATTCGTAGATAATATATTGAAAGTTAGCAAATACATATATTGGCAATTTGTAAAAGAGAAAACTGATTCAAATTCAAAAAGTATTTTGTATAAGTTAGAAAATGTTTCGCTGGTACACCTTGTGTTTACATTTTGTACTTATATTTATACTTCACTGTGTGAATTCTATTCTGTATACTAATAAACTTAATACAAAAAATATAGATAAGTATACAATTTTGTTTGTGTTTATAATAATTTTCTTTAGAGTACGATTGAATGTCTGTGGCGCCATCCTAACTTTTTTTTTTACTTTTTGCCTTATTTTGTTTAAAACATTTAAAGTTTATTGTTTATTAATAGTTTTATAGTTAACTGATATTTTAGCTTAAATTCGTATCCGAAATATCTTTAAATATGACATTTAATTTTCTTGAAATCTTCTTAACTATGTGTAGAACTTAAGTTATAGTTCCTTTATAATCTTTTAATTTGCTTTCAATGGTTTTGAATGATTTTGCACAAAAAAGCAAATAAGAAAAAAAATATGCTCCTATATTCATTCTTCTATGATAATTTGGCAACGATTCTAAAAATAAAAATCGGAATTAATAGTGGTTATATGGATGTATATTGATAATTTTATTCTTAAGTATATAATTACATAATGGACCCTGAAATTAAATTACTTATATTTTTATTTTCATATAAGATGTACAGTATAGGGTTTGTACAATTAATTTTATAGCTAGTTTAACTAACCCTGTTTATTTGTTAATACACCTTTGTTTACCGATGGTTTTTTTTCTATTAATTCAAGTCATTTTCGGCCTTCCAACTTTACATTTACCTTGCGGATTCCACTCTAATGCTTAACTTGATATTGCATTTTGTAGTCCTCTTAGCGTATGCCCCAATTGTCGCCGTTTACTTCTTATTTGTAGCAAAATGAGCCCTCCAACTGCGAGTCCCCACGCTGAGCATTCGAAATTCTTCTTGCCAAAAAGATTCCGCATATTTTTCTGAGGCACTTACTGATTTATGAATATCGAACACTATAAATGATTACGTGCCATATCTCACTTCTTTATGGAAAGAATTTATGAATTTCTTTTTACATTTGAATATTTCAATTATTAGAGTATCTATATGCAAGTGTAAAACTAAAATTTAGTTGGAATGGCGTTAACGTCACATTAAAATTACAGTTATGTTTCAAAGAACGTATTACTGAATTTTGATAAAAAACTCCAATGAGTATTCTCTTATTAAATATGTTCGCATATCTTGCGGACCACAGCTCCAATCGGTGCTCCCCTTTAATTCAAAAAACGTGCTCCCCGATCTTGTAATAGAAACTAAAAAAAAAACAAAATGTATTCATGAATACCACAAAGTAACTGGACTCCACATCCCTACCGAACACTCTGTTTTTTTTTTTTTATTTTATGTATAATACACTCTAAGTATAAGGATTTTAATTAAATTGCTAAAAGTTTTATATGTATACGAAGTGAAAAATAAGTGAAGAAAAACAAAAAGGATATTTTTGTGAATTGGAGCATGATGGCATCTAAAAGTCGGTAAAGTTTTTCATTGTCAGTAGAGCTTATGTAAAAATAAAAGTAATTAAGAAAAGTTTTTTATTTCTGTTTTTGTTATTGCACACTTCCTTATAAAATTTCTTAAAATTTAGATTTAAAGTTTGGTTT